ATGAAAACCACTTGACATCAATCTCATTCTATTTTATAGTTATTATCAGCATTTATTATGAACCAATCATCTAATTATTTTGACTCTATATAAGATCATACAAAAGCATTATTTTTATTGACGGAAAATGTTTACAAAGAACACAGTTACAAATGGTTCACATACTTCAATTACATAACTGTTCAATTTAGTTGCATCTCTAGACATACAGCAACAGCCAAAATTGATATAATAGCGTCACAGTGCCAATAATTATGCCAACAAGCCTTGTCAACATCAGCTTGCTGCAACTACTTGAAAATTCACACATCAATAATTAAATTCCAAAACTTGGCCAAATGAATCAACCTTGTACTACTCCAAGGTTATCAATTTCTTTGTAAAGTGCATGTTAATCCTCTCCAGTTTCACTTGTACCAGATTTTTAGAAATGGCAAAAGGAAAAGAGAACTGCACTAATAAATAATTAAAGTAACAATAACATCCATAAATTCCAATTGGAAAGCAAAAATATAAAGTCCATGCAAAAACCGTAACCATCAAAAAAGTAAAACCAATTTGAACAACAATTTAAATTTTGAGTTGGCAGGCTCTACTATAAGTACGAACTATGAAGATTATGGTATGAAGATAACTGACCTTCCCACCTCGCAACAATGCAAGTGACAATAAATTGCCAATCACCTGCTCAATCAAAAAATAAAATAAAATAAACTAGGATGACAGTAACAGTAGCATAAGCATTTTTCTCTAATGGAGAAATAAAAGCAATAGGCACCGTTGCATGTTTCTTACAAAGTTACAATATGATAACAAAGGCTCCCTCCTCATAAACGGTTTAGCAAAGGAACTTTTTGTACCTGGTGACTAGCAAACACTCCCCAAAATTCTCCATTGAAGTTACCAACAACAGTCCCTTCATGCAAGTGGCAATCTTTTGCATGGCTATAAGCAGCTAAAGTGAGATATGTTCCCTAGCATTGTATAACCGTTGACTATCAATTCATTTTTCAAATGCAAAAATAAAAAAAAAGACTTAAATCTTACAATCACCCACCTGCCCGACCCAGATGATAGATGCAGTAAAGCCTAGATACAGTGATGCTGGGACCATTGTGTACCTATTTGAGTCCAAACAGATAATAAACATGATTAATGAAAGTCCTATTATAAGAATTGTACCAGGCATTAACTTTTATAAATTTTCAACCATTTTCAGGCTTTTTCCAATACTCAATACATACTGACAACATGATGCTGTGGCCTAGGCCAGGACCCCATGGGTCTGATGCCCGATATTGAAAACCATGATAAAATACTATATGTTAAACAGGCTTTTAGCACAATGCAAGGGCCATCAAGTCATAATTATATATCAGCCGGAAGCTCATTGATTATGATCATACTTCTTTTCCATATAAGAGCATGACTCAGTGTTCAAGTTGTTTACTTTATGCTTTATCATTTTTATCCATCAAGAGCTAATTACGTACACCTTGAAGCATAAGAAATACTGCCATATCCAATCTTCAAAAGCCAACTAAACCCTCTTATAATTTTGACTAGAGATAGAGTTCAAATTGGGTTTAATTCACTCCCATAGTAATTCACTGCCCCTCAAATCCATCTCTGCGATGTGGTAGGATATCAATTTTGACAAATGCATCTCTGAAGTCAAAAAGGATTATTTGCACGTAATATTAAGAAATTGGAGGCTTAGAAAACTTTGCATAACTTTATCATTGTAGAAAATTAAATTTGTTTAAATCCCAGCAAATCTACTTCAAGTTTGAGAGTTGAAATTGCATATTGCACCACAAAGTTTCCATCCTTTTTTTTTATTTTTGGCTCAATAGCAACAAAGTAACCCTTGTTGGGTGATAGGGGCATAAGAAACACCTATGACAACCAATGATAGCTAGGGGCCAAGAGACACATCAGCCAACAACCACTAGGTGGTTCCACCATGTTGTCTCGCGACCACCTCTCATGTCAATCTATCGGAAAAAACCTTTTGAGATAGGGCTACTTAGACTAAGAGATTGCGCCTACCCACACATGGAACAGGTAGTCAAATAAACCCTACCATCAATCCCTAGTCATCTTGATAATTTCCAACTTCCTTTCAGACTACCTTAACCACTTTTCCATCTTCTTTGATTGCATTCCCACATCTGGTGCTACCACTACCAAGAATAGGCCATCCATTGGAAACCTCATCAAGCAAATTCCATTTATCCCTACCAAGCAACAAACAGCAGATATTTTCACGAAGGGATTTCAAAACCTGGGGATGCTAAATATCTTTGAGCAAACTTGAGAGGGAGTGTTGAGATCTGCAAGATCTGCAATGATTTGATTTATTGAGATCGGATCTACTATGATTTGATTCTCGACATACTACCTTATTTGATGTGATAGACTAGGATATGATTGCTGATTCATTCTTTATTATATTATATTATTTGTCTACAATCTACTAGTTGCATATTTCCTAGATTAGCACCTAGATCTATTTAGGTAGTTCCTTTTTTTATTTTCTATGGTCCGACTATATGTACTTTATCCTGTATACAAGCAACACTAAAGAAAAAATTCAATTCCCTTCCTACTATTTGCAGGTTCTTTAAGTGGGTTCTATTATATTGTGCAAATAGCGGGTTCTACTATTTGCTTTTACCAAGACAAGTCAATGTTGTCCTTGCCTGAAAATATTATGCACACATCAAGGCCATTGAATTCCTACTACATCCCATTTTCTGAAGCCTTTAAATCCTAGTTATATTGAGTAGGTTAAAATAGTCAGCCCATATTTACTGGCTCCATAGCTGAAATTTGTAATATTTACAATCTGCATAACTAACAGCATCCCTAAACTAGGCAAGGTGGTGCAAAACATTTCTTCAATAAAAGATGTTACAGAAACGTAAAAGCAAAGCTATTTCCATATGTAACACCTCCAAAATATGCAATTAGAATGATTCTCTCATATAATGTCATTCGGAGAATAAATTCTGTCCAACGAAATACCGGAAGTGTGAGGGATTACGATGCACGAAATTGGTAAAAACTAAAAACGTCAGAGCAGAATGCACACCATAAGGGCTTCAAATTGGAGGCTATGAACAGCAAGTAGCCACTGGTACCGAGAACGAGGGCCGTCTTTGACCCCAAAGCCCTCACCACAGGAGAGGCCACCACCGCGAAGAAGGTGAAGGACAGGTACAGAATCCCCAACGAGGTTGTCCCCAAATCTTCCTCCTAACCAAATCAAACCCAATAAAATTTCAATTAAGTCACAGAAAGAAACAAGGAAAAAAAAGGGGGGGAGACCCGGAACAAAAGGGATGACCGTGTTGACGCTGCTTTCCAAGTTCTGGGCGGCCCCATAAGCGGAGAAGATGAGTAAGAAGGCCAAGCTCAAGATGTGAACGTCTCTGGCGTGGTTCCTCGCCGGACGCGCATCGGAAGAAGAAGAAGAAGAGCACGAGCTGACGTCCACCACCAGAGGCGCCGCCTCGTCCTCGGGGGCGGCCCGGGCATCCATGGTGGTTTAGGGAGAAGCCGGACGCTATTCCTAATCGTGGGGTTAGCGATGATTCCAAATGGGATCCCGTTAGTCGATTCCTTAAATGCCGATGGGAGGGGCGCTTTGTTTCTACTAAGGATCTTCCCCAACCTCTCGCTTTAAAAGAAATATTCCGGAAGAGAATCAAACCGTCAAATGCCGGCAGAGCCACTATTGGTGCGTCTTGGCGTTTTAATATCAGCCGTCGCATCAAAACGAGAGAGCAGCAATCTGTGGAGGGGATCCGCAAATATAAGTAGAAGGCAAGTGACAGTTCACCTTGCGCAGGCATTAAGGAAAAGAAAGCCATTTGAAACATGAAACCGGCCCGCCGGCATTTGGCTCTAATCTGATCTACATACATAGCTCGAGCCATTGTTAATTTATTATTAGTATCGAACTATATAATATATATATATATAACTTTTTTCCCAAAAGACAAATTAGATAGGCAAAAAAAAAAAGTACAAAAGATCCTAGAAGATGTTAAAAGAAAAAGTACAAAAGATCCTAATAGAGTATTTATATGGTTAATTAAATTCCAAATTCGACTTGTATATGTTGCATTCCTTTTTTGCATTACAAGATAGATAGATTGATTGATGTCATTGTCAGTAAACTTATATCCAACAAAAATAAAAATAAAAAAACTCTATTTTATTACAAAATTAATTTTTTTTTATAAATTCAGGATAATTACATATTATCTTCTATAATTAATCATAATTAGTATCATGATCCTTATACACTAAAAAATAGTATTGAGATTCTTACACTTACGAAGGTAAAATATTTAATCTCAATTTTTCTCGTGTCGTTAACTTCGTCGACAAAAAAATCACATATGTTATCACGTGAAAAAAAAAACATAAATAAAAAGGATAAAAATATTAGAGTTTATTGGACTAACAATAAAAGCATATTAGTTTAATGAATTTATGTATTGTTTAAGACTGTTGGCTAAGATCTTAACAAATATTCTATAATTAACATTAGAAAGAGAAATTCGTCTAAGTGTTAAATTTCATAAGGTTAGTACATTTTAGTCTAATCATAAGGAAGCTTAATATATCTATGTTATGTTAAGGAGTAAGAAATGATATCCTAATAGAAGTTGTAGAACTCTTGACATGATTAGGGCCAAGTGTTAGAGACAAGATACAACATTGTTATGTTAAAGAGACAAGATACAAATTTCTATGGAATCCTTCCATCAGTTTTTTTAAGGATTATCTATGGAATCCTTCATCTTTCTAACACTAAACTTGTGATTGAGTCATCCCATATGTAATAAGCAAAATCTAACTTGTTACATATAAATCCTATATTCTCTATTTAATTTTTCAAATGTTTTTAGTAAGAAGTTTAAAAAAAAAAAAAAAAAGGTACTGTTGAAAGGATTGAGGTAATTTTTATGTTGATGATATAATACTTCTTCATACGAGGTTTTTATAAAGAAAGAGTGAAAATTACAGGGAGAAGAGACCGATGCACATCTTGAAGGGAAACGAGCAACAATATGGACAAGAGAAGTAGCTCCATAGATACTGTTCAGGAGTACATTGGAGAGAACTAGTACTGATCAGGCTGGGCTAAGCTACAAGTTTCACGACCACCATCGTTATGGTCAGAGATCAGATGATGGGTCTGAAGTAGCATCCTGAGCTCTTCGTCATCGATCTTCCACACTGCCTCAGAGCAGCATTCCCACGTAGGAGACGACGGCATTAAGGGGCACGAGTCCTCGAAGCTCACCTCTTTGATCACCTCAGACGTAGCAATCTCATTCCAAATCTGATCCATGGGGTAACTTGCCACGCCTTCCTCCTTCTTCTCAAACTCCTCGGCAGTTAAGCAGCTGCAGGCACTACTGCTCTTTAGATCATGAGCTTCCGCCGCTGCCTCTAGTGGAAGCTCAGTGAGATCCAGGGAATGATCAACACGCGACGACGATGAGCTCCGCTTTCGTTCTTTGGTCATCTTTCTCATGTGCGCTCTCCAGTAGTTCTTGATCTCATTGTCGGTGCGTCCGGGAAGTTTACGCGCAATCCGAGACCACCTGCATCAGGCCTTTCCTTTGTCAAGCATATCGATCACATAATAACTGGTCATGGATTGATGCGTGGCACCGAAAACATGCAAAAGGAGGAAGTCGAGGTTGTTTATGACTTCAAAAAAGATGCAAGTAAACCTGTTGCCCCAGAGAGAGTGGAGCTCAAGAACAAGGCGCTTCTCTTGGGAGGTCATGCGGCCTCGCTTGAGACCGGGGTGAAGGTAATTGACCCAGCGCAGGCGGCAGCTCTTTCCTGTTCTGTTGAGACCTACAACATGGCATCAAAGGATGCAGGGTTAAGCTGTAGCTTTCTTTCACCTTGCATCGTCTAACTAAGCCGCTACCTGGCCTGTCCCCCCCCCCTCAAACCTGATGCTTTCGCTATGAAATCCCAACGACGTTCACCGAATAATCGCACAAAGCATACCAGATGCAGGTCCTCCTGCTCCGTCCATGACCCCTTTCGCATCTCTTCCTTAACCATCACCATCTTAGTCTGCTCTTCGCTGCCTAAGGCCTACAGAACAGCTCCTCCTCCTCCTCCTCCTTCGTATAGGCCTCCACTCAAGCTGCAGCAGCCACAACTCCGAGTGTTAAGAAGCTGGTCTGATGGCCTTTGTTGCACTAATCTCTTTTTTTATAGCCAGTAATCGATCTCCTCACGTCATAGTCACTAGATAATTTGTTTGGTCGTCTGAGGCTTAATGTAAATTTCAGTTCGATTTGATTTTGATGATTCTAATGAACTGTTGTTGATGACATTTGAGTTGACATAATTTGCTAAACCCAAGATGATGATATTGCATCGATCATGTACTTGGGATATCAGTAAACAACGTCCTTAGATCCCACATAAATTTTCTTTTCTTCCTCTTCCTTCTTCTCATCCCGCATAAATTTCTTCATGCCGTAATCATACGTTGATCCATCTGCGCTCGACATTTATTACGAACCTAATATGCAAAGCATGATCATCCTTGGGACCGAGAGGCCGAATCAGTATTTAATCGTTTGGCCATGGTTGTGATGACATTATCATCCAACTAGGGAGAAAAATTAGGTAGATACAGTAAACAATAATTTTAATCCACAAAGCTGTTTTTGGCTCAGCGCATTGTTTCAGCTTTCCATCAGCAGCACAATGAACTGATAGATCCAGTATGCTCGTTATTTAAATGATCATCCTGGCCTCCATGACTGCTCTGGTCAGAACAAAAACTACTTGGAGGTTGTAAGATAATGATGGAGGAACACTCAAAACACATCAGTGAATGTGCTGCTGAAAGAACCTTACATTTTGGCATGAAATAATGCCTGATTCACGACTGGGACTGTCTACTTCTTTGGCAACAGAGAACAAGAAACCTTCTTCGTATGCAGCCATCCTGCAGACCTTCCATGCAATTGGAATGCACGCACGAGTAGATATTGTGATCCCAGTTAGGACACCACACCACCTTGTAGTTGTCATTGTCATTTCTGTAGATGCAGTGAATAAGTGGCAGTGTCTGGGCCACGATCGCGCTTACTGACCATCGTAATTGCCACATCATACACACCTACGGGAGAGCACGTAACTCGGCAGCAAATGGCCGAGACCATCATCTTGATGTCGATGCATTTGCCAACAATTTGTAAGGACCTGAAGAGGGTTTCTTTTACTAAAGGAATAGATTTCGTTGCCTGCACCTGTAGTGATCCATCTTTTGTAAGTGCGCTTGGCAATAAGAAAGCAAATCCATACTGACATGGAGGCAACTAATCTATCGACAACACACGTCTTGCTTCTTTTCTTATCTTTTTCTTTATCCTCACAATTATTTTATCTTCTTGACACTTTTTATCCCTCCCTCTTGTGTTCTTGATATCTTTCACAAGAGAGATAAGAGAGAGAGACACAAGTGGTGATTAGGTGTACAGTTGAGGAGACCAATAATCTTTTGTAGTATTTCCTCGCACAAATATATTTTCTCCCTGCTATCAATATCATGAATCCCTCCCTCTCTATTTATACCAACTATAAGATATATCCCCTTTTAAACTTATTTCTCTTCTATCTATCATGCATTCTCAGCGAACTCTTTGATTTTAATCTTGAATTTCGGGGATTGTGAGATCATCAACATCTTGATGCTCTAACTTGAGATTGATCTTTTCATCTTTAAAACAATCTTTTCTCTTATATCTCTTCTTCTTCTATGCTCGTTCTTAAATCTTTAACTTTTTTTTTTTTTCCTCGCTGTGTCATTGGTTTACCAGCCTTCTTTTTCAGTTTGGAGGTATGGTTAATCACAACCTTCTCATAGTTATTTCCATTTAAATCTTGATTGATGAAAAGAGTGTCTTTTCATCACAATTTTTTGGTGTGATATTTATTTATTATTTTCAGATTCCTCATATTCTCTCAGTACAATCTTCTAGACTTTCATTTATGTACTCTAATTTTAATATTTTTTTTATGAGATGATATATTTTTTTAAAAAAAATTAGTATATATTTTTATCATATTAAATAATATATATGATGTTCATAGATAGACTCGAACTTAAGACCTATCACTTGTATAATAATACACTAACTAATAAAATATTTTAATAAATAGTTGATAAATTTAACTTTAATTTCAGTAACCATTTTAATCGGTAGAGAAGATATAACGACATTTGATAGAAAATCCTTACATAATTATATTTGATTCATGCGCCCTTAGAATCATGAATATCTAATTTTCATGATTAGTAGAAACATTCTAAGGGTACAATTCACTGTCATGTACTAATTTAAAGTTTCAGGCATCTTATACAAATTTTTCTTCATTTTATACGATACTTCTTGTATCACTTATCTTGAACAGTATATTAACTTATCAAATTAATTAATTAATTTCATCATCAAAATCTTAATTTTAATAATCTTTTTTATTTTGATAATGATAACCAATGAGATTTTAACAAAACTCTCTAGGGAATGATAAACTTGATCTCAATTAAAAAGGCCATATATCATTTTAAATGCTTATCTTGAATTTTATTATTTATCCATTTTTAAGCTCAATGATCAATATACAATCAAGTTTTGAATTTTAAAGTATAATATTCAATTATCATCTAGATAGAATACCAACCATTAGTTAAAAACAAAAGATAAGCATAAGTTAATCATTTACATATGTTAAACATATAAAATAAGTCAAACATAAGTTAGTTATATAACCATAAAAGTATCATAATTCTTTTGTTATAAAAAAAAGAAATATATACATAATAACAACTCAAGTTACTCAGTTGAGAGTAAAAAATGCCTAAATAAAATATTAAAATATTCATAAAAATTCTCAAGATGTTGGTGTAGATATTTCTCTCTCTCTCTTCTTTTTTTTTATTTATTTCAAACATAATATCCTTTCTAGGGTCATGTACCATCATTCAAAGAAATTTGATATACCTAGTTTCCTTCTAAATTATTTTTCATTAATAGGTTTTGTAAATATATTTATCTATTTATATTTTGTATCGACGAAGACCAATAATATATTATGATTGTTGACATGATCTCTAATAAAATATTACTTAATGTCAATATATTTAGTTTAAAAGTATTAAATAAGATTTTTTGTTAATCAAATTACACCAGTATTATCACATTTTATAAAGATATTTTTTAAACAAGTCCATAATCTTTTAATCCAAATTATTTACACACAACATACATTTGTTGTAATATATTTAGCTCTAACCGTAGATAATATAATGAAAATTTGATCTTGAATGACAAAAAACAATTATGTAGCGTAGAAACTAACAAGTTCTAAATATACTTTTTATATCTATTTTGCATTCTATAAAGTTAACACCAACATAAGCAATCAAATTTAAGATACCATAATCCTAGAGTGGGAGTGGGTGTTTTTTTTAGTACCTAAAATTTTATTTTACTATTTTAAAGTGAAATTATTTGAAATTAGATTGAAATCTTGTATAAAAACCTATATTAAACATGATAACAAATCTAATGACAATAATATACAGTAAGCTATCTATCATGGGTATCATTATAATGTTATCATGAAGTCTTAATAAAAAATAAAACATGATGAAATTAATGAAAAAGATTGATTGAATTTACACATTTAAGAATGAGGCTCTCATAATATCGGAAGACGAAAAAAAAAAAATCTACAAAACACTGTAAACACAAGTGGGAAACAATTTAAAGAAAGAAAAATAAGAGGGGAAAACACAAAATACGAAAGATCACCTACTTAAAATACATCCCTAGCTGAAATAACATAAAGCACCATGATTTTTTTGAGAAAATATTGTAAAGAGAGGGAAAAAAATGTTTTGGTAAAATAGTATTTTGAAGCAAAGAAGGAAAAAAAAAAAAAAAAAAAAACAGAGAAACCTCAACCTTAAATGATGTAAAGCCACAAATCATCCCCAGACCAAACCACCCTATCAATTACTTAGACATGGAAAAACATAGGACTTTTGTAGGGATATTTTTAAGATTTTAAAATTAAAAGGTGACTGGTTGAGAAAAAAAATAAAAGGGAACCCATTGAAAAAATATCTAAAATATAAGTATTTTTTAAAATATTTAATTTTTAGTATAATAAATAACATATAAGATACCTAAATATGAACTCCAACTTGATAAGAATAATGTATAAATTAGGGGTCGAAGAGAGAGAAAGAGAGAGATAAACTTTCTCTTTAGGGTCGTACTCACCAATTATATCATAAAATATTATAATGATATATATTTTTGATTTGGCATGATGTTAAGTTTTTTTTTTATTTATTTATAATTTTACAATATATATTGAATCTAAAACTGGTAAAAAAAAGCCTTATAAAGCTAAATTAAAATACATCTATTCTTCCTTTTTTCGTTTCTTAGACCTCTTCAGTCTTCCCAACCACATTATAAGAAAGAAATATATTTCTATATGTTCGATTGTTCGCAAGCATTAACAAAAACATACATTGGAAGTGCAATTTTAAGATATAAAAATAATTGCAAGTTGGCAACATAATAAAATTTATCGCAGAACGAACAAAATCGCGCACGTGCGTGCCACGGGTTACCTCTTTCCATTTAGCCGGCCCACAGACTCATACCGTAAGGACAAGACATGTTCTCTTTCCCACCTACCCCAAACCTTATTCCGTCTTTCACTGGCTGAGTGAATGAAAAATGCGGGACCCATCGCGTGTGAGGCGGTGCTTTTGTGGGGACGTAAATTTTTGTGGCGAGGAAACTCCGCCAAATAGTATAAAGCCGGCCCTCTCAGATCAACAATCGGTGGAGAAGAGAGAGAGAGAAGAGAGAGAGAGGATGCCAGGGTTGAGAGGTCCGTCCGATTATTCCCAAGAACCCCCTCGCCACTCGTCCCTGAAGGTTAATTCCAAGGTATTCATCTCCGGTCTCGTGGACCTTCCGACCACTTCTTTTAGATTGATCAGTCCTTTCAACTACTCGGCAGTTTGTTGATCCAAGACCTAGCATGAAATCTTGGCTCCTTTCCTTATGTCATATTATCTCTGCTCTGTACATTTCAGATGTCAATTGTTAGTTTTCTGGAATGAATCGAGTATGAAGCGAAATAGAATGACTGTGTTCAT